ACCCCCCCCGAAGCCCCTGGAAGAGGGAAAGGGGGCGTCCCAGGGGTCTTTTGGGCAGCCTGTTCCCCAAGTGCAAGGAAGGGGCCCCTCCCGCCCTGCCTCGAGGCCCCCTGAGGCAGCCCCCCCACTGCCCTCCCCCTGAATGGAGGCTGCATCGCCCTCCTGCAGACACCCCCAAGGGAGAGGACGAGGCCTGAGTAGGTGGGCCAAGGTCCTCCAGATGGGGGGGGGTTGCAGGGCTTGAGGGGGGCATCACGGGGTCTCCTGAATTGGGGGGGGGCTTTTCCCAAAGGCCAATGGAGGGAGGAGGAGTGAGACCCCCCCAGGCCCTTCCCTAAATTCAGCCCCCCCAGAAGCCCCTGGAAGAGGGAAAGGCTTGGCCAGCAGGGCCCAGGTGCTTGGGGGGGGGAGGAGGGGGGAGGGATTGAGGTGGCCCCCCCAGGCCTTCTGGTCTTAAAGAGTTCTTGTAACTCCTGAAAAGGGGGGGGCAGCCTCCCCCCAAAGTGCCCCCCCCTGAGCCCATATAGCCAACAAGGGAAGGGGGCACAGACTCTGGGTCCTCCTGCCCCCCCCCCCCACGTCCCCCCACGGGCTGCTGTTCTGCCTCAACTGCCTCCTTTCGACTGGAGATTTCACGCCTGCCGCTTTCCTCCCGGGCAGATGGACGCCACGAGCGGGTTATGTTTGACAAGATCACCTCCCGGATCCAGAAGCTCTGCTATGGCCTCAACTTGGATTTTGTGGATCCCGTGAGTTTCTTTCTGGCTCCCCCAGAAACAACACTGGTATTAATAAGACTGAGAAAAGGGGGTTAGTTTGCCACCAGGGTCTACTTCTTATTTAGCAATAGCAGTTGGACTTATATACCGCTTCATAGGGCTTTCAGCCCTCCCTAAGAGTCAGCATATCGCCCCCACAGTCTGGGTCCTCATTTCACCCACCTCGGAAGGATGGAAGGCTGAGTCAACCGGTGAGATTTGAACCGCCGAACTGCAGATAGCAGTCAGCTGAAGTGGCTACAGTACTGCACTCTAACCACTGCGCCACCTTGGCTCATTTAGATGGACATCTTCTCTTTGAATCAGCTGGGGGGGGAAGGGAGGAAGGATACCTTTATAGGTGTGACACCACCCCCTTCACACACGATACCTCATCAGCTCACGGCCTTAATCGCTACTTAGCCTTTTATTTATTTGACAAATTTATACGGCTGCCCAACTCAGACAGAGGTGAGTCTGACATTAAAAACCATAATTGGATAAGCAGGCAGGCAAAAACAGGAATAGAAATGGATGGATAGAGAAATAGAAGAATAGATGATAGAGATACAGATACTGAAATGGATGATAGGTGGAGAAATGGGTAGGTAGATGAATTTTGATCATGTGACCATGGGGATGTGGCAGTGGTTGTAAGTTTGAGGGCTAGTCAAAACCTTTTCTTTAGTGCACTTATAACTTGGAATGGTCGCTAACTGAATAGTTGTAAGTCGAGGATCACTGCACTATGTTTCCGGGTGGCTACAGAGGCAGATTTTTTGTAGGCTGTAAAAAGGTTCCATGCTAGGAAATCCGTTTCCCATGAATAAGAGTTCTCTTCTTTTGGCCAGGCTCAAATCACCATGAAGGTGATCCAGGGTCTGTACAGTGGGGTGACCACGGTCGAACTGGACACGCTGGCGGCCGAGACGGCAGCCACTCTCACAACCAAGTACCCCGACTACGCCATCCTGGCCGCACGCATCGCGGTCTCCAACCTGCACAAAGAAACGAAGAAAGTCTTTAGCGGTGAGTGTGTGCAGAAACGGGGACACTCTGTTATGGCTGTAGTTTAATTCCAATCAGGTGGCCCTGGGGATGCTGCAACAATTTTAAGTGTGGAAAACGGTCCTAGGTCGCTTTTTTCACTGCTGTTGTAACTTTGGACGGTCACTAAGTGAACTATGGTAAGTCAAGGGAGCCCTGTACTATAAGAAGCTAAAAGTATATCAAATAATAGCTGATGCAAAGATTAATAGATGTTCTTTAAGATGTTCTTAAGAGACACTCGGAGCCTCTGCCCGCCTGCCAAAACAAGGGACCAGCTGGGCTTTTCTAGCCTGACCATCACAGCCATCACTGAGAAGGCTATTTTGGGGGAAATTGTTCCAGCTCCTTGCTGTGATTTTCAAAGTTTGCTAAGCAACCAGTCGTAAGCCGAGAACTACCTGTATTCAGGAAGTGGATTAATGCTGACTGATGGCTCTGAACAGAAAGATGGATAAGTAGAAAACGGATCGCCATGTGTGCCTTCCTCCTGCCACGGTTAATATGGCCGTGCTGTGATCCGTTGTGCCTTTGTTGCTTTCCAGATGTGATGGAAGACCTCTACAGCTATGTGAACCCACACAACAACAAGCATTCTCCCATGATCTCCAAACAAACCCTGGACATTGTCCAAGCCAACAAGGATGTAGGTGCTGATTGAATGAAGTTCTGTTGCGCAGGTGGAGACAAAGGTGGGGTCCCTGGGGCTCTCCGAGCTGGATGGCTTTCTTGCAGACGTTTCATGACCCAACTAGGGAACATCACCAGTGAGGAGGGGGGGTTGCTCTGTGTTTAGATACATGGGCATCCTCTGTCTGTGTTGGTGGGAGTGTTCTTGGTGGTCCCCTGCTTAGGCTGTTGAGAGAGCAATCTCCCCTCCCTTCCAGCGCTGATGATGTTCCCTAGTTGGGTCATGAAAACATCTGCAAGAAAATAGACCAGCTCAGAGAGCACCAAGGTCCCCACAGCTCTCCTCCCACTCCTCTTCTCTGCAAACCCCCCTCCCTTCCAGCACTGATGATGCTAGTTGGGCCTGCAGGAAAGCAGCCCAGCTCAGAGAGCACCAAGGAACAACCCCCCCCCCCCAGTTCAACCTTGAGCTACAGAGATTTCCTTCTGTTGGGGAAACAGGTTCTAGTGCTGGGGGATTCTAGCCTTGAGGTGGGACAGACGGAATCTTGCCAGGGTCTTTGGTGCCTCTTTTTTGAGATCCTGACATTTGCTCTGTGATGAGCACAGCGTGTTACTCTTCTGGCAAGGCCTTGTGTCCAGTCCTGGCCCTGGACAGGCTCTGGGTGTAACACGATTGCACTTGTATACTGTTGCTCTTTAATTCCAGTGTAAAAATAGGA